CATTAAGCTGGTTTGCTGAAGGCACTGACACGATTGTTTTTGTGTGTGATTTCAGGGGAAGAGTATTCCAGCACAGCCCTTAACGTCCACTAGGGCAGGTTCAGAACGGCGGTCTGAACAGCGCCGTCTGCTGTCGTCCTTCAGCTGTGACAGTGACCTCCTCAAATTTAACCAGCTTAAGGTAGGACAAGTGAAAACCATCTTATATCTTTCAAAACATCACCAATCAAAATATTAGCTTAGGCAACATCTAATGACGCACAACTTTTCCACAGTTCCGTAAAAAGAAGATCCGGTTCTGTAGAAGTCACATTCATGACTGGGGATTGTTCGCCATGGAACCTATTGCTGCGGATGAGATGGTTATCGAATATGTTGGCCAGAATATCCGACAGGTAAGTGTAAAACCAACCAAACTTTTAGCATCACTGCTTTTTGTGTGGTCTGTTCATAACCGTCTCGTCCACATTTGCAGGTTATTGCAGACATGCGAGAGAAGCGCTATGAGGAAGAGGGCATCGGCAGTAGCTACATGTTCCGTGTGGATCACGATACCATTATAGACGCAACCAAATGTGGCAACTTCGCCCGCTTCATCAATCATAGTTGCAATGTGAGTTTTGTACTTGTTAAAAAAAAAAAAAATCAAGGTAATTTTGTAGGTAAAAACCTAATTGACCGTGTCCTCCTTTGTGTCTCCCAGCCAAACTGTTATGCCAAGGTCATCACTGTGGAATCACAGAAAAAGATCGTCATCTACTCCCGGCAGCCAATAAATGTTAACGAGGAGATCACCTACGACTACAAGTTCCCCATTGAGGACGAGAAGATCCCGTGCCTCTGTGGCGCAGAGAACTGCAGAGGAACCTTAAACTAACCCCAGCAGATAGGTGAGAACTTTCTTAAAAACATGCACTGCCCTACAACAAGCCCAGACGCCCCGTCTTCTGGAGCTACAGAGGAAATAGTGGGTGAAATCCAACACAGCCACTGGATATATCGTGCAGCTAAGTATCTGGGACTTCTTTTTTGTACTTTTTCACGATTGTTTACGAATTACAGGTGCTCTTTCAAGCATAAAAAATGAATTTTCTACCACTCTTCCATTGATTCTATGGAAATGGACATATTTTTCCCCCAAATGTTTGGGCACCAAGTTTGTTGTCTGCCCATTTGGCACAGTTCGTCTTTGCCGTGGAGCTCCTGCTCCTCGTCAGTCCCTTTTTCCTCTGCGGTTTGGTTTGGAGAGACCTCCCCGTCCCTTGAACTCTGACCCCGAACACTTTAAGCTGCTCATATCTGTCCCACACGCACAAAATTCTTCTGTCAGTTTTTTTTTTTTTTTTGACCATGTCCTTGTCCTCCAAGCCCAACAAGATTCATTCAGTATGAAGTTTAGTGTATGGTCAGACCTCACTGTAACAGCCCAGACGATTTATCTTTCAGCAGGACACTAACCAATGTCAGGGGTATTGGGTCAATTGTCTTCAATTTGCAGAACATTCAACAAAAGCACACCTGTGCCGGCCACAAAACAAATCAGTAGAAAAAGGGCCACAGCTCAGGCAAATTTACACAAAGTGAAACGCTCCTACAATACTTCAGCCGGCGCTGCGTATGGCACCTACAGACTGGATCTGAATCCGACTGGACAAATCAAACAATACACTACACCTAATTCTTTCATTTATTCAAGTTATTTTTTACAACCATATATCTGTAATTTGCTCATTTGAGTGTCTCTGCTGCCCCCTATCTTCTGTAAGGTGTAAGGGCAGAAAGCTGCTCACTTTCAAGCTGTACAACTTAGTATTAACTCTGCATTTGATATGTCAGCTCACTACTTTAGCAGATAAACATGCAAAGATCCAATTGGTTTCATGCATATTCAGGCATTGGTGCTGAATTTTCTATTATGGAGTGAATCTCGCCAATATAATGCTGCTATTCTGCAAACATATATATCCCTACTTATCTCCACCAGTTCACTTTAAGATGGGAAAATCCACCTGCACTGGTTTTAGGTCAGTTAGCATGGGTTTTCGTAGTATTAGGAGTTCTCTGTGAGTGCGGTAACAGTCGCACAGCACTGATGCTTTTCAACAAGATTGGCCAGACACCAATTCATCTAATCTAAGTAGTTGCACTGTTGTTTAGGATGGCACACCCTGGAGTATTAGGTCCGTCACCCTAAAAAACGTCTGCAGTGGACACAGAAAATCAAGTACGAAGTCGAATACAGTGCCAAATGTGTACATTACAGTGTCTCGGCTCCAAAAGCAAACAATTTTCCACTTGTCTCCTGTGTGTATGTGTGTGTTTGCACAGATGACCTAAGCTCACTGGTACTTCGGGCGACCCTTTTGAGTTCCTTCTGCATTTTGCTCAGTATTTAACCATCATGTTTAAACGGCTATTACAGCTTCATTCAGCCAAATGTTCCTTTGAAAGCAGAAGACTCTGATCTGCAAGGCAGCATGGAGACTGTTTATCTTTGTGATTTGGTTATTTTAATAAATGCACTAGAGGCTTCCAACCCCCCATCAAGCCAAATGGCACTCATGCTTTGAAACGCGCCCTTCACGTTAGATCACTCACAGGGTAAGGTCTCCCAGCTTTTTTGTTAGTTTTCTTTTTAAATATGTTTATATTGTACAGGATTTGATGGTTTGTATAAAGGAATGGGGCCTTTTTATCTCGATGGGGAGTGATGCATCGTTCTGCTTTTATGAGCGACAAATGGAGTATTTAAAATGACTATTTTTCAGGGATCATTATTAAAAAAAAAGGGGTTGAATAGCTAATTTAAAGAAAATGATGCATCTTGTACATAACACAGATTTGTACTTCCTTTTGAAAGATTGTTTCTTGTAGAAACGTCTTTTTTCTGCCCATTTTCCTTTGGATTCTTATGTGTAAATACTTTAACTGTGAATATATAAATATAAATATATATATATTTTTGTTCCTGAGGATTTGCTACAGTGTCACGGCTCGGAAAGGTCTATTTGACAGTGATTGCGGAGAGCTGGTGGCAGTATTTTCAGCTTGTGTCAAGCTTTAATTTTTATTTTTGGTTGTAAATTCTATGAAAATCTGTTTGCAGTGTGGGGGGAAAGCATTATCATTCAGATATGATGGCAAGGGGCATTGGTGAAATTGGCCTTTATCCCCTGTCTATTTATTATACCACAAATGTATGGAAAAAAGATCATGGAAAAAATAAAGGATTTTTTTTTCAGCTGCCTTGTCTTGTAATTAATCCTTTAACGATGTGTCACTTTAATATAATGTTGGATGTTTTCTCATGGTCGATTCAGGTGTAGAGAGTTAGCAGGAACAGGGTTTCAAATCTGAGTTTAATTAGAATTAATAACTTCACATGTTTCTGTCAGTATAGGAGGTCTCAGCACACACTGGTCTAACCATCTGCCCTTCATATTGCCTGGCATCATAGCTCTATTCATGTTTACCCTTTATAAAAACCACAGAGAGTCATTTAAAAGGATTCAGCTAGTGTTTTTGTATTGTATTTAGTTTCTACCCCCAACAAGACATTTTTTATTGTATACCCCACATACAAATTACAGTATGTTCATCTTAGAATATTTTTACATACATCTAGGGAATGTTTTTAGAAAAAAACATGGAAAAGCAGTTTAGTTTACATGAAATAAAAAAACATGGATGTGCAGAAAAGTATAATTTTTCAATAACGTTCAAGTCATAGTTAAACATTACATGATTCTTAATATATCGATAGTTAGGCCTAACGATATAACAATTTCTAGTGGTGTTACCTTTTTCAAGTGCAATAATTTATAGGCTAGTAATGGTTGATGAGGTCCACTTCACAAGCTCAGACTGAAATAGTGACTGTTTTGTGCTGTCAGTGAACACCAGGGAGTGACCTCACTGGCCAGATTAGCAATGGTAACCTCGAAAGAGACAGAAACAAGGGCTCTTTGTGTGAGTGAGCAGTGCCCCCAGTGTCAGTAACAGGACGAGAAGGGTATGACCACTACAACAAAAACACGCTTGTGAGCCAGTCAAAATAGACAAAACACACTAACACTGTCATTTTTATTTCAACACTTTATTATTTGCAAAAGAACACTTTGGACTTAAGTCAAACTATTGCTAGCTCTGCTATTTTATACATCAAATAGTTTGCCTCCTGAGGTAAGTTTGTATTTTTCACAGAATGATAAAATCAATGATAACAATCATTCAAGTTTGGTGAATGCACGTTTATGAGTCCACACGCTCCACTTATAGCTAGTGAACGTGAAGCCTATAGCCTACAGTGAACTGAAACTTTATCTTTCTACTGTAAGGTATTGAAATCCTGCGAAGTGCCCTTTGTGTATGACTGGTGAAATTCTCCCTATGAAAAGGCTTTGAGTGATCAAGTTCAGTAAGAAGCGAGGGGAAATACGTACATGGTGATACTGACCAAAGATAACCAGGATAACTCGTATAGATGTGTGATCAAACTACAATTTGTTTCTATGCATAAATAATTTAAGGATACATTTAAGGCCCGTTCACACCAAGAACGATAATAAATATATCCTTTAATAATCGTTTTAAGTCTATGAGAATAGGGAATTCCACACCACAGCTATAACCAGTGTTGGGGAAACAATTGTAGTCTTGAACTACAATAACCAACATGTTCACACAGCGCGCACAAAACGCCTCCGCACTCTCGATTTCTCTCAACATGGGGACAGAAGTGCTTTCAGTCAATAAATGGGAATTTATTTATTGTTATTTGCAAAAAAAAAACGAATATTTTGTTGTAAATTTAAAAGTAATGTGTTACTTTATTCGTTACTTGAAAAAAGTAATCTGAATACGTAACTCACGTTACTTGTAATGTGTTGCTCCCAACACTGGCTATAACCATGGCAACAAGGAAACTATATTATTGGGATCACTTTCAGAAGGATTTTGTCCAGCTGATAAACAAAAAGATTGACAGCCAATCAGAATCCATCAAAATTTAAATAGCTTGGGCAGTTGTTTTTGCCACAGTATTATGTGTCATGAATAGTCCAAGACAAGTATGTTTAATGCTGCCATTCTGCTATAAGCAAAATGCTAAATATTTTACAATTAAAAGGAGTAGAGGAACATTTAAAACATTAAAAATGGCAAGAGAGGACACTCCATTGGAGAGCAGCTTGGCGTCTTTGGAAGCGTACACGGACCGTCCGTAGGTTGGGTGGATGTGTCTGTAGTTGTCATGCAGGAGAACCTGGTCAACAGCTTCTTCCACCGTGGAATATATCCCGTTTACAAACTGCTCAAACTGACAAAAGAAAGAAAATGTTAGAAATCTCTTGAACTTGGTTTAACTTGAACTTTGAAAAGTGACTAATTAAATCATTCAAATAAATGGCAACATTGATGTATTATTCATTTAGCTAAGCTATGAACATGTTGACAGTTTGGACTTTTAAGGGTTAGTTCACCCAAAATTTTTTATTCTGTCATTAATTACTCACCCTCATGTCGTTCCAAACCCGTAAGACCTTCGTTCATCTTCAGAACACAAAGGAAGATATTTTTGATGGAATCAGGGAGCTTTCTGACCCCACATAGACTGCAACGTTATTACCACTTTCAAGGCCCAGAAAGATAGTAAAGACATCGTTAAAATAGTCCGTGTGACAACAGTGGTTCAACCTTAATGTTATGAGACGATGAGAATACTTTTTGTGCGCATTACATTTATTCAACAATTTATTCTGTGTCAGTCTTTGACGCTATTCACGTGAGCACCATGAGACATGCGTGTGGTGCTGACGCAGGAGTCGTACAATACTGAGCCGGCGTTCTGAAGTAGAACCAGGAAGCACTGCACTGTGTTTACAACGTGAACAGCGTCAGAGACGTAACAGTAAATTTGGACTAAACCGCTCAATTCATATGGATTAGTTTTACAATCTCTTTATGAAATTTTTTAATTGTCAGTTGCGTAGCTGTCAATGGAGGGACAGAAAGATCTTAGATTTGATCAAAAAGATCTTCATTTGTGTTCCGAAGATGAACGAAAGTCTTACGGGTTTGGTATGACATGAGGGTGAATAATGAATTGACAGAATTTTCATTTTTGGGTGAACTATTCCTTTAACTTGTTCATCAAAATTCTGTTTTCTGTTCTGCATTATAGCACCCTTGTGGCAAGACTGAAAATGCAAGCGATGCATTATGAAGTGTAAAAAATCTAGAAGCATTTTTGTTTACATATTTGCGTAGATTTAATTTAGGACTTTAGTAATGTCTTACCTGAGCCCATGAGATATGGACAGGCACTTCATACACGGTCCACAACACCACCTGTGAACAGGGCGGCGTTGTGAGACTGCCATGATAACGGTAATACTGCGTTAGGTTGTTCTGAGGTAACAGATTTACCAAAGGAAATGGTCTTATCGATTTTGTTTGTCCTAGAAAGAAAATGAAAATATTTAGTTCAAACTTCTGCAAATAGCCTACTCAAATATACACTGAACAAAATTATGAACTCAAAGATCTAAGACTTTTTCTATGTACACAAAAGGCCTATTTCTCTCAAATATTGTTCACAAACCTGTCTAAATCTGTGTTAGTGAGCACTTTTCCTTTGTCGAGATAATCCATCCACCTCACAGGTGTGGCATATCAAGATGCTGATTAGACAGCATGATTATTGCACAGGTGTGCCTTAGGCTGGCCACAATAAATGACCACTCTAAAATGTGCAGTTTTACGGTATTGGAGGGTCCGGGGGTCCAGAAATTCTTTGGTTATGCAAACCGATTGTTGCAGCAGCGGTCCGGGTGGTTGGTCTCAGACAATCTTTGAGGTGAAGAGGCTGGATGTGGAGGTCCTGGGCTGGTGTGGTTACACGTGGTCTGCTGTTGTGAGGCCGGTTGGATGTACTGCCAAATTCTCTGAATCGCCTTTGGAGACGGCTTATGGTAGAGAAATGAACATTCAATACACGGGCAACAGCTCTGGTGGACATTCCGAGATGGTCCTCACTGCAGAACACCTTGCAGAACACCTTACAGAACACCTTCCTCCCACCTTACATATACCTAAACCTACCCCCACCCCTAATCCCACCCATCTCCACCCCCTGATCCCTAACCCCACCCCTAATCCTACCCATCTCCACCCCCTGATCCCAAACCCCACCCCTAATCCTACCCATCTCCGCCCCTGATCCCTAACCCCACCCCTAATCCTACCCATCTCCACCCCCTGATCCCTAACCCCACCCCTAATCCTAACCATCTCCGCCCCTTAGACCTGGATCCAACTCCGCCCCCTGGATCTCGTTTACTGCAATGAGGTGCTACTGGACATTCCTGCAGTCAGCATGAATGAATGTGTTTGGGATGCTCTGGATCGGTGTATACGACAGCGTGTTCTAGGTCCTGCCAATATCCAGCAACTTCGCACAGCCATTGAAGAGGAGTGGACCAACATTCCACAGGCCACAATCAACAACCTTTTTTTTCTTTTTTTCAGATACAGTAAAACTGCACATTTTAGAGTGGTCTTTTATTGTGGCCAGCCTAAGGCACACCTGTGCAATAATCATGCTGTCTAATCAGCATCTTGATATGCCACACCTGTGAGGTGGATGGATTATCTCGGCAAAGGAGAAGTGCTCACTAACAAACATTTAGACAGATTTGTGAACAATATTTGAGAGAAATAGGCCTTTTGTGTACATAGAAAAAGTCTTAGATCTTTGAGTTCAGCTCATGGAAAATGGGGGCAAAAACAAAAGTGTTGCGTTTATAATTTTGTTCAGTGTACTGTATATAGCCTATATTATTTTTACTTTGAAAAAGTGTATAGTCTCAACTAACCTTTGTAGGCAACAAAAGGAAGTGCACTTGAGATGGACTGGAAGTTTTCATTATGCAGATATGACACCTGTCGTAGTATTAAAGATAAAACACAAACCAGTGGTGATAATGTTTATTATGCATTGATGAAATGTTACTTCAGATAAAACTAAATCTTACATCAACAAATATGCCAAGCACGGCAAGTCCAGTTGGGTCTTCAAGTGCAGAAGTCAAGTTCGGATGTGTGGATTTGATGTTGACTATGTGCATCTGCACACAAACCATACGGACAAACGTTACAAAAAAACGTAAAGTGAACATAATTGCTTAGTTTTCAAATAAAGACAACGGAAGGCCCAAACCTCCATAGGAAACCTCAGGTGGTCCAGAGTGTGTTCTGATCCGTTTGAAGAGACACTTCCCCAATGGAAATGCAGCTGGATTGTGCGGTAAGTCCCAGGAAGCCCTCCGCCACTCACCTGCATACCGTTACCCACCTCCAGCACAACTACACACAAAGACACGTTTCAGACTGAAACCAGCTGAGCTACAACTTTCATTCACAGGGAACCCTCCAATAATATGTAGCTACACCTTGAAGATTCCTGGGATAAAAGCATCCAAACCATCTTTCTAAAGGTCAATAGACTGCAACTTTCAGTTTCCAGAGGTAAAAACTGCAATAATTTTCTCCATAGGAAAACTATTTTTAACTTAACTTACAGGTCTAATCCTTTAACGTCTATACTGTGAGTTCTGAGGTTGTTAATCAATGGTATATTTACTTTACTTTATACTTTATTGTCAGACGAGTCTGAAATTTTTCTTGCATAACAGTGTATGTTTACAACATCTAACATACATTCTACATTGACATCCACTTACACATCACATATTATACCTTCAAAATAATACAACATACATACAACGTACATCTAACATACATTCTACTTTGACATACACTTACACATCACATATTATATCTTCAAAACAATACAACACTTATACATCTAACACCTTCACAGTACTCTTGATCTCTGATTGAATGTTTTGTTCAATGCTAGGATAGCCTGGTACACAAAAGAGTGTTTCAGCCTCACTTTATTAAATCTGGGCACTCTATACCTCCTCTTTGATGGTAAAAGTTCAAACTCTTTATGCAGAATATGCATAGGGTTAGAAGTTATAATACTGGCTAGCCTTAGCAAGTTGTTATGATAGGCTGAGTCGTAGAGCTTCTCAAGGGGCTGACCTACAATCTTTGAGCAAATTTTTAATTGATTATGCAGCTTTGTTTTCAGCATAACAGACAAGCTTTTATACCAAATAGATATTGCAGTATGCTCATTATCACAGACCTATAGAACAATAGAAGAATCTGTTTTCTTACTCCAAATGATCTAAGACGACGAAGAAAATAGATTCTCTGCTTTGTTTTTTTACATAGTGTGTCAATGTGATCTTTCCATGACAGCATATCGTCTATAATCACTCCTAAATATTTATATGTCTTAACCGATCTAATTTCCTCCTTATGAATAAAAACAGCCATTATATCGGCCACAGACCCAAATACAATCTCCTCAGTTTTACTGGTATTAATGACAAGAGCATTATTCTCACACCACTCAATCAGTTTAGTCACACCTTGCTGATGAAACTCAGAACTATCCGAATCATTTATCACAGATATTAAAACAGTGTCATCAGAGTATTTCAAAATATACTGATTTGACATATCAGTTCGACAGTCATCTGTATATAAGGTGAAAAGTACGGCAGAACTAACGCAACCTTGTGGGACTCCGACATTTGTAATGATTGCAGACGACACAGATTCATTCACTTTGACTCTCTGAACTCTATCAGTGAGAAATGAAGTATACCACTGGACCAGATAGGGATTAACGTTCAACCGTGCAAGTTTTGACACCAGTCTGTCAACCTGTAATGTGTTGAATGCAGAAGAGAAATCTAAAAACAAAGTTCTTACAATTGTTTTAGGTTTATCTACATGTTTAGAGATGATGTGTACTAAAGCAGCAACTGCATCTTCAGTACTACAGCCTTTCTTATAGGCAAACTGCCAAGGATCTAATTTATCTTTAAATATGCTTTTGTTTAAGCCATTTTTAAAATATTAAAATAATCATGATTAACATCTGAATTTGTGAAAACTACATTACCCATAATGCTCAACAAGAAATTCGACTAATCAGCGAGTTGTTGAGAGCAAATCGAGCAAAAGAAATTGTAGGGAACACCCAAAGCGTACAGCATGACCTAATCGAGTTGGTCCTGCTATGTTGTCAAAACAGTTCAACAGTTTGGCAGGTGGCAACAGTTCTTCTGACCCTAAATGATGGAGTGTGTATTTCTTAAACAACCATGTAGGAAGGCCATATTCCAGGATGACAATGTCAAGATTTATCAGGCTCAGATTGTGAAAGAATGGTTGTGAGGAGCATGAAGAATCATTTCCACACATGAATCGTCTCCTCTGAGTCCAGAGCTTAAATTCAATGAGAGTGTTTGGGATGTGCTGGAGGAGACTTTACAGAGTGCTGGACTCTTGCATTGTCAATACAAGATCTTGAGCAAAAATTGATGCTTCAAATTTTGGTCAAGAATACTTCCAAAACCAGCTTAAAGAGTGGACGGGCACTAAGGCACTCCATAGAATCACTTACCAGAGTGACCCTGGTTTGTCAGCCACCATTGGCCTTTATGAGTCAAATTAAAACCCTCCAGGTGCAGCGAGTCCAAAGAATCGTTCTTCATCAGCTGATGGTCCAGGTTGATCGGAGAGTGATGGCTCTCCAGAAGAGGATGGCAAGAGGGGTAGTTGTCTCCCCATGCATATGGATCTACCAAGAACAATTAAATCTTGTTTCATGTCACGACAATACTAGTATTGACAAAATGAGTACTTTTTTGTCCTTCTTAAAACACACACAGCTCAAAAAACTCACCACAGTGCTCTTCATCATAACAGAAGTCTGAGGAAAAAACAGTTAAAATCTTTATCAAAGTTTATATAATCACTTTTGTTTCAGTCAAAGGCATTCAACTAAATCCCTTAAAAGTAAAATGTAAAAGTTTTGCCAACAGCACCAGAAAGTAAATGTATCATTGAATCTCCTGTCACTCACCGTCATCACTGTGTGCCAATAAAACCACAGACAACATCAGCATCAGAAGTAACATCATGCGCTTAAAATGAATAAATATGTTCCCACCGGTCTTGCACCCCAAAAAATAGAAAAGGCACAGAAAACGGGGGTTTAAATAGTGATCTTCTTGGATGGAGGTAGGATGTCAGGGTTTTTTTCTGACCGTACTCATTTGAGCGTGTCGCTGCCACTGCGCTCGTCCACAGTCTCAAACAAATAACACTTGTTGAACGAGGAACCAGAGAAGTGAACACTGACCATATGCATTGAACAAAGCAGTGAAGGTTGAAATAATGCAAATAGAAAGTTTTACCAAGGTTTTACTGTGGCCCCAAAAACTACTTGAACATTTTAAGTCACACACTTAAGAAACTGATACTTTTATTCAGCAAGGACACATTAAATTGATCAAAAGTGACAGTAAAGACATGTAATGTTACCAAAAACAAAATCTATTTCTAATAAATGCTGTTTCCAAGAATCCTGGAAAAAAAATGTTGGTTTCCACAAAGATATTAAGCAGCACAACTGTTTGAAACATCCCAATGACAATTGATACTGAGAACTGGAGTAATGGATGCTAAAAAATTCAGCTTTGCAGGTATAATATTTCAGTTATAACTTAAAATATAATATATTATAATATACAAGACATTTTAATATATATTCTAAGTTGTATTCAGTTACAACTTAAAATGTATTAGACTGACTTCATTCAGCAAATTGATGTTTTTTATCGAATGTATAATGACATTTAGACATCTTAAAGAGTCTAAATACTTTTGGGGGCCACTGTATATACACAACAAAATAGTTCTTATGAGACATCACAGTAAATCCTTTATTTGGGAATGTCACAACTATGTCACTGATGTCTAATCTCTGGAGGAGGAGAATTCCCAGGAAGCTTGTGGACCAGCTTTTACATCAGCGAACTGAGTATTTCCTTACATTTGGGATCCCCCCGTTGGCTCACATGACATTTAAGAGCGATCTACTTCCAGAACGGAGAGGGAAATCTCAGAGAAGGCTTTTAAAATGTTCAGAGGACTCATTCTGGATTAAAGACATCACACGAAAGAATCAAATAACACACGTTATGAGATCTTAAAGGGGCTATTATTTAGAATTCAGAAATTGTGCTCACACAACGTATAAAGAGCGAAACATGATTCAAGGACCCGATACTCGCGTCAAAGTGGTTTTTCGTTCTTAGCTCAGAAGAAAAAAGAAGCTGAAAATACCGTTGCAGTGATATACTTTTTATGAACATCCTGACGCCAGCAATGTTACGATGAATATGTCAATATGTGCTGCGCACTTTCCTATCAATTACAAAATAAACAGAATAATGACAGCGGTGAGAAACCAGAAGTTAAGAAAGTGAAAGTTAAAGATTAACCCCTTTTCTCTGCATGACACATTGACATTACAATACAGAATAGTTCTTTCAGCATTATCTTGAACAATGTTTAAGTATTTATTTCACGTGTCATTGAAGAGAGGCTCTAGGGAGCGTGCATCAATGTCACATCCTTTGGATTTTCCCGGCAAAAACGTCCCGAATCCTTCACATACACTCACCTAAAGGATTATTAGGAACACCTGTTCAGTTTCTCATTAATGCAATTATCTAATCAACCAATCACATGGCAGTTGCTTCAATGCATTTAGGGGTGTGGTCCTGGTCAAGACAATCTCCTGAACTCCAAACTGAATGTCAGAATAGGAAAGAAAGGTGATTTAAGCAATTTTGAGCGTGGCATGGTTGTTGGTGCCAGGCGGGCCGGTCTGAGTATTTCACAATCTGCTCAGTTACTGGGATTTTCACGCACAACCATTTCTAGGGTTTACAAAGAATGGTGTGAAAAGGGAAAAACATCCAGTATGCGGCAGTCCTGTGGGCGAAAATGCCTTGTTGATGCTAGAGGTCAGAGGAGAATGGGCCGACTGATTCAAGCTGATAGAAGAGCAACTTTGACTGAAATAACCACTCGTTGCAACCGAGGTATGCAGCAAAGCATTTGTGAAGCCACAACACGCACAACCTTGAGGCGGATGGGCTACACCAGCAGAAGACCCCACCGGGTACCACTCATCTCCACTACAAATAGGAAAAGAGGCTACAATTTGCAAGAGCTCACCAAAATTGGACAGTTGAAGACTGGAAAAATGTTGCCTGGTCTGATGAGTCTCGATTTCTGTTGAGACATTCAGATGGTAGAGTCAGAATTTGGCGTAAACAGAATGAGAACATGGATCCATCATGCCTTGTTACCACTGTGCAGGCTGGTGGTGGTGGTGGTGTAATGGTGTGGGGGATGTTTTCTTGGCACACCTTAGGCCCCTTAGTGCCAATTGGGCATCGTTTAAATGCCACGGCCTACCTTAGCATTGTTTCTGACCATGTCCATCCCTTTATGGCCACCATGTACCCATCCTCTGATGGCGACTTCCAGCAGGATAATGCACCATGTCCCTGGATGTGCATCCCACAAATCTCCATCAACTGCAAGATGCTATCCTATCAATATGGGCCAACATTTATAAAGAATGCTTTCAGCACCTTGTTGAATCAATGCCACATAGAATTAAGGCAGTTCTGAAGGCGAAAGGGGGTCACACACAGTATTAGTATGGTGTTCCTAATAATCCTTTAGGTGAGTGTATAAAGCAGTCTACAGGCTTTCATAGACAACCTAAATCGGGGAAGGTCTCGTTTTTTAAAGTTTCGTTACAAGTCGTTCACACATTGGAAATAAAAAGTGATTGAAGGTATGGTAGGCAATTGTGGAGAGGCTGGCAATAGCGAGCTAGCTTTGAAAGCATGAGATCCCACCCTCCGTTCAGAGCGTCTCCAAAGACACGACTCCTTGACAGCAGTCTTCAAACCGTCACGACACGAGAGACAGCATTAAACTACCTCATGTCTCAAAGCACATAACATTAAAATACTAATGAACTTAATCAACTTACAGAGCTCTAGTTGTACCACCTGACTGCTGCAGGTTCATTTCAGCATTGATGGTATTGAAGTAGAAATGCATAATGCTGTCTGAGTCTGAGGACCGAATGCAATGATTGGACGTACATTTTTTGGCCCGGACTTCCACAGAAGATATATATATGTACATGTTTTAATATTTAGATCACTTCTATTATTGATTGCTATCAGGATGTGAAGAGAGTTTCAACCAGTATAACCTAAAGGGTTTATAAAACAAATTGCCAAACCTACCTTTAATACTCCCAATTATGCAGAAAAGAAAATTGTCGTCATTTAACAAAAGGAACCCAAACACAGCTGTCCTTCATGGTACAATTTATTTGGCATTTGATTAGATGTACATCTACTTCAGAGAAAAAAAAGCCCTCTGACAAAAAAAAAAAAAGAAGCAGTACATGACATAAAAAAGAAAAAAAACAAATTCAAGAATCGACAAATTTACCAACTGTTGCATTCTACATAAAATATTTCATGATGCTTTTTTTCCTTGTTGCACCACAAAGTCTATCTAAAAAAAATTCTCTACTTTTTTTTATTTAAAAAAAGTTTGCAAATGGTATGTGGAAAAAGAGTAATCAGAAGTGTCTCGAACCTCAGTTTGCAGAGGAGCGTCTGTAAGCATAGCAGAAATGAAGAGTACAACAGCAGAAGAGACGTCCTCGCTGCATGCGCAAAAGAGTAAAACATGCAACCGTAGGTCTGTAAAACATTCATGCCAACTTTTACATTACACACGACCAATCCACACGCTTATACATACATTTAACAAGCACACACAAAATAAAAACTAATGTTCACAGGATTGTCTGTGCTGATGAAACCCTGAAATGAAATGCAAAACAAAGACTATACAGTGAAAGAACATTTACCTGGATGATAGAAACGTCTCCATGATGTCACATACTCAGTTATTTTGGTGCTGGTGATGGATCTTGAAGAAAAAGGGATCTGTGTGCCACATTAATTTGTCTTTGTATTTCATTCAGCCCAACACGGCAGGGCCGTGTGCTTTTGATGTGCAAAAACATCTTTGTATGAAATGCCTGATTGTCATTTAGTTTGGGCTTTTTGTTGCATTTCCAGTCCGAAGGAAAAGGTATGTTCCCGTTTACAAAATCCAGGAATCAGAATAACAACTTTGTGAAAGCAGTGTTCATTTCAGTCAGCAACAATGCAGACAAAATCTAAATCTATCCTTTCATGTTCATAACTTATGCACATCATTAAATACATATTTCGTTCACTGGAAATGTCCAAATGGCAATTAAGTAGTCTGTTAATTGTTAAATGATTGAAACAAAAAGAAAAAAAAGAAGTTTTGCAGTTACATACATGTACATTTATGCGCTCATGTGTGCAAAATATACGCTCACATTTACTTTGTGTCAAGTAACAAACGGTTTACTTTGTGATTTACATCGAAACAACATTGAGAGGAGAGCACTTAGCTTACAGATGCTGAAAATGAAAAATACAGCCACACACACACACACACACACACAGACCATGAAAACAAAACTCAAATTCATCGTAGGCAAGTCTAAACGTGTAAATCCAAACTCAGGATCTCAATAAGAAATATCTATTTCAAAAACCATGATTTGTTTCAGCACACTTTTAGATCAGCTCGAGAGGCAAAAATGAGTGAGAATATTTATTACTTAGGTAAATGTTCAGCTTTTTTTTTTAACTGTTACATTCTAAATTCAAAATGTAAATTAGCGCCAAACTTTTCGGATCTAAAGTTGTTAAAAAAAATTCCCGCAAATACTCATTACCACAATGAAAATAATAATAAAAATTCTTCATTACTGTAATGCAAAAAAAAAAAAATCTAATTTAGCTACAATAATAAAAAAAATTACCACAAATACCACCATGACCAATACTTACAGCTGTAGAGTACTATATATATATATATATATATATATATAAAATTTTAATATATAAGCAAGATTTTTATTTCAGCATTACAGGAATGGAAATAAGATTTCTTAAAAAATTGTGGGCCACTGAAATATAAATGCTTCAATAAGCTTTTATGCAAAATATATTTTCTAATTTTCTTTTCGGTTTTGGGTAAAAACTGGTATTTTTATACAGTTTTTGTGAGATTCATTAAAAAAAAAAAACATCACAGCAGGATCCTTAAAAGTGGCTGAAACAAACTCGTACCGTAACTTTTTTTTTCCCTTCATTTTGAGTTTGTGCTATTGATCCGACAAACAGAAACGTAAAAAACAGACATCACAGAAATCCAGATAAGAACACGGAATTGCTCACATCCAAACGGATCCTTCCCGTAGATGAGCACAGGTGGCTGACCACACAAGAAAGCTTTCTTTAGGGTCAGTTTGGACAGAGCAGTAATGAATCAAGAAAGTAATAGCTTCTTTGTGCCAGGAAAGAGTCAGTGTGCAGGACATGATTCCAGTGAGAGAACGTCAGGTTGACTGAATTACACCACTAAGGCCTAAAATGTCTTTTCATCAACCGGTTCATTCACTCAAAGTGTGGTGATCGACACATGCCAGTGTAAACCTCAGAGAGAGGTGCTCTATCGGCCCTCCCCAACATCAAGCCAGTCAACCGATGGCCGATGGAAGTATTTACATGTGACTCGAGCTGAAAAAACGCAGAATAAAAACCCGAAACAAGCGTCTTTTCTTTCACGTCTGAAGTCTCTGCTCTGAACAGTCCTACAGCCTCCTTGATTTAGTAGAGCGATCAGTCTGGACACGTACCCTATGACCTACACCATGGTGCTCAGCGAGGGGCCGCTGCTGCAGTCTGCGCTGGAGCTCTGCGTGATGCTGGCCTCTGATTCGCTGGGGGTGTCTGGAGAGACCAGTAAGGTGCTGCTGTCGATGGAGTCCTCGCGCTCCTCCAGGGGCGGCGGGGGGGCGGGGAGCGCCGGCTCAGGGAAATCCCTCTGGAGAGAGTTGGCTGCGCCGCTCACATGCCCAGTCGCGAGCGGCACCACGGTCCGCCCTGCGGAGAGAACAGGGAGTGAACGAAAGCTCGTCCTAGGGAGCTGCATTACTGTCTAGTGTCGCCAGCGCCGCCGCTCCCACCACGCGCATCACGCGCTGTGCGTAGGGCACCAAGTGCTGAGGGGGCACCAAAAATAGCCTAATGAAAAACCAATCATCAAACTTCTTGTTATAATCAGATTCAGCGCGTTCTTCCTCTTCATTCCGCAGCGGCGCCGAGCAGAGACAGAGAGCACGTCAGAAACACAGGACAGTGTGTGTGTGTGTGTGTGTGTGATGTGTTCATGTGTGTGTTCATCTGAGCCTCATTGGTCTGTTACTGCTCGTCAATGTCAGAATATTTGAGATGACCAATCAAATCAAAGTAGGCGGGCTTTATGTTCACAGACGCTGAGCGCGAATTTTAACAGTGCAACTCGACGCTTCAGTGTACGGTCAAGTGCGAGATAAGATGTAAGTAGCTAAACTTAACTTTATTTGACAGTTTTTTTAGGTCATAAATGTTAAACGAATGACAAAAAAATAATTAGGCAAACTAATATAGTTTTGTCTAATTTCGCCATTTTGAACTGAAAATATGCCTATGTAACATGTAGCCTAGTGTAATAGTTTAGGCTACTGTCATTGTGAGGGGACAAGAAACATGAACAAAGCCGTTTTCATCATGTTAGGCACAGGATTTATAATAAATGTGTACATATTGAGAATAAAATACAAATTGTAACCTTTAGTAAATTAAAAAAGCCAACTTTAGGAGGGGAAGAGACAGGGCAAGATAAAAACAAAGAGAAAAAGAGTGTGATGCTGATGAGGAGAGAAAAATAATCAGCTGCCCACTGACATGGTTTTAAAGCTGTTGTTATCGAATTTTTATTTTTATTTTGCCTTCACAACATCTTTAAAATGCACATCTGTAGTTCAGAAAAATCCCAAATTTCCCCCGAACACCCCTAACTAACCTGCCTAAAATTCGGGATCCCAGTGATTATAAAACCATGCCATTGCATGGTAATGAAACTAGTTAATAGTAAGCATTAGACCCTAATCTAAAGTGTTACTTTTAAGCTTTTTTTTTATTTTTATAAATCATACCCTCATTGGGGGCTTAGCCCCCATAAATGAAAATCCTAAATAAAAATGTTTTTTTTGGGGGGGGGGGCACCAAAATGGCTAGCAGCGGCACTGAGTGTCGCTATCTAAGGGTGTGTTGACTAGGGATGGGAATTGATAAGATTTTATCAATATCAATGCCACTAACGATTCTGCTTATCGATCCGATTCTTTAACGATTCTCTTATCGATTCCTGATAGCACTGTGTGGGGAAAAGTAGTCATATGCTTTTTCGGGGGAAAAAACAAGTGGTTTTATTTGTTTAAAAGCTTACACTTGACTAAGCAAACTGTACTTTTTATGTAATTTATGTAATAAATGGAACCTTATTGTAAAGTGTTACCAATTAGTTACACACCGATTAAACGTCCCGTGAGTTCAGTGTTGGAAAGATCAGTTGTTTTAACCATTCATTAAAACGAATCGGTTCAAATGAGTCATTAGTTCGCGAATTGGACGTGTCATTACCGGACGTGTGCGCGTTGTGTGATTATCCCGGCGGTTGGGACATTACAGTCTATGGTCATCACAGAAAACATTTCATCACTGGATCGTTTTTTTCGTTTATTTAAAGTGTAGTTTATGTCAGCTGAATGTGCGGAACGCTTTTCAGAGAAGATTAGGCAACGTATTTTAGCACAATTTGAATTTACACCCAGCGGTAATTCAGGAAAAACAAATATCCGAATGCTCCACATGAAACTTTAGTCTCCCGACCTTATCATCGTGTCGTTTATTTTGATTAATATGTGCGATGGAGAGAAAGCAAGACAGCGCTTAGTTTTGAGACGGTGAAGCCTACTTTCGCCTTGCTCCGAAGAGAGAAAGTGTGCGCGCGCGACCGAGGCTCTCTCTCTCTCTCTCTCTCTCTGCTCGTTCAGTTAAACATGCGCCCTGTCACAAGCGCAGTGGTTCATCTACATTACCAGAGAGAGAGACAATATTACTCACCGATCAAATAAGACTTTGGCAGTACAAAAATTCGCTTTGGACGCCGTGCAATGGTGCTTGATAAAGGACAAAAAAAGGGACAGTTGTGAGTTCACGGTCTGTAGTCTACATACTATGGCTGACTCAGAGCAGGAGCATCGATAAGAGGACTCGTTAACGTCGAGTCGAGGGCATACAATATCGATGGATCGTAAAACTTAGAACCGGTTCTCGAGTGGAACTGGTTTTCAATTCCCATCCCTAGTTGACACTTGGCATGTTTGGTTGGATTAAAGCAAATCCTGGTGCGATTGCTCTGTTAGTGCGGTTCATACACTGCAAAATGCATGTGATGCTGCCTTAGAATTTGGACAAGATTAGGTATGTATGAATGTACAATAATAACAATAATGCATATGACACCTAAAAGAAAAGTTGTCTAGCTAAGAAACTCACTAGGTTTTGGATGAGAGCTCATTAAATTAATGATAAATGAATAATACTAAAATGATATATAGTACCGAGGTCCATGTAGAGGATGCTGTCTGGGTTGATGGAGGCCTCATATGGAGGAGGAGGGTCATCGGGGTGGTGGATATCTGGGTATTTGTAGGCAGCATAAGGGGGCGGGGGCTCCTGGAAGTGGAACGCTCCACCTTCACCATCATCGGAGAGGTGCAAAGGCGTCAGGCCCGTTCCGAACACATCCGGCCCGTAGTCAAAGCCAGGGACTCTCCGACCCAGATTAAAATGATGCACTGTGAAAAACAACGATGATTCAGAAAAACAGCGCTTTAAGATGCGCATACAATCAGCTGATCAAACAGGGCCTTACAGTTTCCTCCAATGAGGGTTTCGATGCGTTCTCGCCGCCGCTGCCTCAGTCTGTGCACCATGAAGAGCAACAGAGAGAGGATGAGGAAGGACGAGATGCAGCTCACAATGAGCCGCATGCCACTGGCCATAGAGTCAAACAGACTGCTGCCGTCTACAAACACACAAACAGCACAACTGAGATCCACTTCTACAAGGACACAACCTGAGACTATATCTGAGGGATATGTGTGAAACAGACTACTAGTATACTGCATACTGAACAGTATATACTGCCTAGAATTCATTTTAAAAGCAAAACGCTGTAGTGATAGATATAAATCTGCTGATATTTGATCAGTGAAATTGTCAATGGATAATGAACTATATATATATATATATATATATATATATATATATACCAAAAACTAATATTACACTGATATATATATATTACATATGTATACTGCAACAATTATATTGGCCACCTCACTCAACCACAATTTAATGTATGCCACATTGCTATTACAAGACAGTACTATGTTGCCCGTTTAAGTCAGCAAGTGCCATTGCACAAATAATCTAAGAAATAAACACATTATGTCCTAAAGGTTTTATAAACACTGTCTAATAAAATAATGGTAGTTTGCCATTCCAAACATGCATTTATAGATATACAATAAGAAGGCAGAGTAGCTCTCTCTAGTGGTCAGACTAGGGAACTCCACGTCACAAAAATGGCTGAGAATTCACATATGGTGTACATTTACAGATCTATCTTCATTTTAATACATATCTGCCCAATAATCTTTCAAATTAAAGCACATACAACTGACATACAGTTCACAATGTGATTGGATGAGACTGTGAAAGTACCGGGATCCAAGCAGGTGAACTTGCAACACTCTTTCGGGTCCTTGCGGAAATGCTGGCAGCCCTGCGGGCGCTCACACAGGGCGGCCACACACATCTCCGGCTCACCGTCGTGACACGTGCAGCTCAGACACGGGTCGTCCCCTTTAGGCGTGAAGTAATAGCCCTCATTCACCACATTGTCTTTGATATCCACACAAGTTTGTCCTGTTGAAGAACAGGTGTATTATATATTAGTACTAGCATGGGGGAAAAGACACCAGAATGCCTTAATTGAAGTCAATGGCATCAAACAGCTCATCTGTCTATGCGGCGCTGGACGTACTTCTCTTGCAGAGGAAGGGGAATTTTTTGTAGCAGTTTTCCGCGTGCCAGCTGTGCAAGCCCCGCTCGTTCATGCTCTTGATCTGGAAGCGCTGCAGCTGGGCGCAAAACACGTTATCCTGCGTAGGGTTGGCCTCGCCGAAGTTAGCCAGACCCTCCGGAGGCAGAAACACCTGCATGGACCCTGTGAGGAACACACACAGATTCAATTCAATTCAAGTTTATTTTGTATAGCGCTTTTCACAATACATAGCGTTTCAAAGCAGTCCACATTACAAATATCAGTTAGCTAAAATTTATTGATTCAATAATTTATGCAAAAAATGCATTTAAACAATGTAATAATTTAAGGCATTAACAATGAGCTCATTGAAGTAATGAATACTTGTTTGTTAACAAATGATTATGACAGAAAATTAGCATTGGTGAAGATGAGACTGCAGGAAAAAAAACAATCTCACCCTCACGTCATTCGAACCAAGTGTTGTTATTGTTAACTTAAATTAGACCGAAAACTGTAAAAAAAAAAATTAAAATAATGTAATAATATTTATATAAAATATACATATTTGATGAAACTTGATCAGACATTAGAAATGTTGCCTTGCAACTAACTGCAGTAAAATAAAAGATTACTGAAACTAAAATAAACAAAGCTAAAACTAATACAAATGAAAAAGTAAACTGCAAAAATAAAAATAAAAGCCAATTCAAGTGATCAATAAATACTATAATAGATTATATTATTATAATATAAAAAGAAATACTAAAGTAACTAGAAATTAAGTAATTATTCACTGAAATCACGAGTTTTGATTATTTGAGTCAGATCTTTTTAATAAATCAATTGATTCAGTTCACAAAAACCAGTCTGAATGATCCATTCAGAAATAAAACTGAAGTTCTATTCAGTCACACAATCAACAGTGACCGTTTTCAGAGAATAACAAAACAAATTTCAGTCTGTTCTTCGCACAAAGTTATCATGAAACTTCAGAAGAGTGCACAAGTCATTATGGTGTTTTTTGTTAATTCTGTAGCTTGACAGCTCCGGTCCTCATTCACTTTCATACACGTTTTGTGCTCCACAGAGGAAAGACAGGTTTGGAACGACATGAGGGCGAGTTTTCTTCTTTTCTGGTGAATTATTCTTCAATAAATGTGATAAAGACCAACCTTTATATGCCACTTCCCAACGGCCCTCCAGTGAATGATTCTGGTTAGTAATCACATACTGATATCCCACCCAGAACCTGCGACGACAAAACACATCCACAGCGTTGAGAACTCAAACCTGTTAAACACCTCCTCTCTTCCCTTTAGAAAACAGCTTCTTCACACTCACTTGCACTGGTCCTTTCGCTCGCACACCTTCTCGTCGAAGTCCACCTCGATCTTGAGGATGAACTGCAGCTCTTCATTGGTGCCGAACGTTGCGAGGGAGCCGTTGACTTTCTGACACGTTTCCACCGCCTGCCAGTAGTTCTCACTCCTCAGGTAGACTTTATAACAGCTAGCTGTTTTTTCGTAATGGTGCCAGCCAGTCGGACACTTCTCTGTGTTTAGAGGAAGGATTATATTAAGATCATCATAATATGAACATCTCATTGAATTCTTCCTCTCAGGGATATGACTTGATAGATTCTGAAAGGGATTTTTTTCCCCATAAGCCTATTGTTGTGTTCTATTATATGTGTATAGACTGCCCGGCCAATCCAATTTTTGGATTTAAATAGGCAAATGCACCTAAAATTGATGCACCTCTTGATGGAAATAAATGTTGTCCATCAAGAGGTGCATACATTTTTGGTCAAGATCTTGTATTGTCAATGCAAGAGTCCAGCACTCTGTAAAGTCTCCTCCAGCACATCCCAAACACTCTCAATGAATTTAAGGACTGGACTCAGAGGAGACGATTCATGTGTGGAAATGATTCTTCATGATCCTCACAACCATTCTTTCACAATCTGAGCCTGATGAATCTTGACATTGTCATCCTGGAATATGACCATGATGTGTCTCATACATGGTTGTTTAAGAAATGCAAAGCTACACACTCCATCAATTAGGGTTAGAGGAACTGTTGCTACACATAAAACATTATAGAAACATAATAATAATAATAATTTAACTTAAGCATTTGCATATTTAAATAGGTGTATGTACCCACACTACTGTTAAAAAATGTTGGGGTTGCTAAGATTTTACATTTATTTTGAGAGAAATGTGCATTTATTTGATCAAAAATCCACAAGTAAAATTGTTAAATATTATTACAATTTTCTATTTGAATATATTTTAAAATGTCATTTATTCCTGATCAAAGCTGAATTTTAAGCATCATTACTTCAGTCTTCCTGTCGATTTTAATGCTGTAGTGCTTTATGTGTTTGACTTAGTAATGCGTTCCCAGCATATAAAGAGCGTTTCAAAAGTGAATTGACGAGTGTTTTAAAGGGATCAGGAAGGATCTTACTGTTGAAGCGCACTGGCTGAGCGACACCCATGACGTCCTCCACCGGCTCAAAACCGTTGCTGTAACGATACCGTTCCTCCTTTATTGCTGTAAGAGTGTGACAAGGAATATCATCAGAATGCTTTATGATGAACCTATATATGACCTAAATATAAGGCTGAAGTTTATAAATTTACATCTGGAACAATAACGTTCAACAAGATGCTACAGGGTAGGTCATCGGATCTTTTCAACGAATCAATCAATCCAGTTGTTACGTCTGAGGGTGTAGGTTTATTTATTATTGAGGTCTATTATGTATTTTTGTGTATATTTGGATGTTTTGGTACTCTGACCCGCTGCATTCAATTGAACGGTAAAGGGGAGGAGCAGAGATATAAGCAGAATTCTTCCTCCTGTTTCCTAGACTCATAAGTTGATTTCTATTATTGAGTTGTTTCTGAGTAAGTGAGCTCAGGGTCTTGTTTCTTAAAGTGTTTCTTAACAGAGAGAGAACTAAACTTATGTAATGTGTTGACAAAACCGGTCTGAATGGCCTTCTCATCGCCCTCATTCTCAAATACTATGAACAAAACTATGAATGATAAATGAGAGGCTCTTGGGTAAATCAAATGTTTCTTTTATGAGTTTACAAAATGGGAAAAAAAGAAAGCATCATCCATGTAAGCCTATGAGGTTCATATTATATAAACAAGAAACTGTAATACATAAAAAAAAATATGTTATAAAAATTAACTAATTGTATAATTATATTATAATTAAGTTTTGGTAGTTTATCCGTACTTAAAGGGATAGTTCACTTTGGAATTAATTTTTGGTATGTTTTAGCTTACCTCAAGGGCATCCAAGATGTAGGTGTCTTTGTTTCCGCAGTAGTTTCAATTTTGATATTTTTAGGTCAAACCATTCTTGTCTGTCAGTCATATAATGCAGGTCTATGGTCACCACCTCAAAGAGCATGCACAGAGAAGTCCAAATTAAACATGATTTAATGACTCGTAAATGTAAGTACACATTGATGGCTTAAGACACAAAACGAGCGGTTTGTGAGAAAACGAACAGTATTTATATCGTTTTTACCTCTTGTAACCACAGCCGCGTCCAAGTGATCTGAGGGCGCGGGCGCTTCGGTCTTTTCCGGCAAGTGCCGGAAAGCGCCGGAAGTGATCTCTCGCGCATGTACGTCACTCATACAATTGTTTTATTTTTTAATTTTTTTTAATTGTTTTCTTTTACGACGGTTTAAACATCCCGGATAAGCGCAAATTAGTACCATTTTAATTAGCCGTCTTACCTACAATCTCTGTTCTGTGTAAACAATGAGTGACGTATACGCGCGAGAGATAACTTCCGGCGCTTTCCAGCGCTTGCGCAGACCGGCCCTCAGATCACTTGGACGTGGCTGTGGTTACAAGAGGTAAAAACGATATAAATACTGTTCATTTTCTCACACAAACCACTCGTTTCGTGTCTTAAGCCATCAATGTGTACTTACATTTACGAGTCATTAAATCATGTTTAATTTGGACTTCTCTGTGTATGCTCTTTGAGGTGGTGACCATAGACCTGCATTATATGACTGACAGACAAGAATGGTTTGACCTAAAAATATCAAAATTGAAACTACTGCGGAAACAAAGACACCTACATCTTGGATGCCCTTGAGGTAAGCTAAAACATATCAAAAATTAATTTCAAAGTGAACTATCCATTTAATGTCCAATGTAAAATCTGTGTATAAGTCAAACTTTGTGCTTTCAAGGAAATCATGACGTTAAATCTCTAATCCACAGGAAACGGAAGGGAAACAGGGCAGCAGGTCCGCTAAAATAAAAACAGTTTCTAAGAATCCCGGAGACATTAATACATACAGAATGCCAATTAAACTACTTCCTGCTCGCGTTCAAAGTCAAAAGGAGCAGAACAAATCCGACAACCGAACAGGAATTAAAGTAAGGTTGTAGATCAGTCAGGCCTTGAGCCAACAACTCCTGCGAATATCGGCTTGCTTACAGCAATGTCAGAAAAGGGTCGAGTAATTACAAGCATAAGAGGAGTCTGTAAACCTGCAGTGCTTTCTGTCAGTGTCCACTAATGATTACAACGTCAGTGTACAAGCCAGGGGTTAGACAAGAGTTCACCATACAGTTCTAGGTCAAATTATTTATAAAATCTTTATATCTTTTGGACTTTTGATGATATTCATTCTCAAAACGTATGAATTCGGTCAAATGGCTTAAAGGTGATATTTTTTTTTCAATCAGAGGAACTGTCATCTTCACCATACAGTCACTGTTGAAAAGTTCCCCCATAACAAAAATAAATATACAGTAAAAAAAACAACAACCTTGTTTTAAATAATAATAATGGGATCAATTTATGGTATAATAATATAAATATATATGTTTATACACAATTATTTGTGTTTTAATAGTTAAATATAATAAGGAAATTACTAATAATTATCTGTAAATTGTTATTTAATGTTTGTAAATATATATGTATATTCTAACTGTTTCGCAGATATGACTCAAAATAAGGTAAAACTGAAGTTCACATCAGAGACACCAATGAAACGTCTCAATGCATCACATGTCTTAATGACCAAATAAAAGCAATAAAATAATTGCAATGTTTAATGTTATATTACCAGCAAAATCCCCATGCACAAATAGGAGGAGTGAGTTATCTTATCTCTCTACTGAAAAGTGTCACTGAGAAGTTTACGAGACTTCAAAGCACATAATAAATCAAGGAAGAGATATGAAGAACACTAATCAATCCGGCAAGATTAAATCAATAAACAATCATGTCACCACCTCAAAATACCCCAGTCTAAGATTTACAATACCACCAATACAAAGCAACTCATCTTCAGTTTTTAAGGGTTACGTTTAGGGCTGTGAAACGATTAATCGCATCCAAAATAAAAGTTTGTGTTGTTTACATAATATATGTTTGTGTACTGTGTATAATTATTCTGTATATATAAATACACATACATACATGCATGTATATATATATATATATATATATATAAATAAGAAAAATGTGTTATTTATACATAAAATATATTTAAATACATATATACATACATGCAAATATTTCTTAAATATATACATGCATGTGTGTGTATTTATACATACAAAATAACTATACACAGTACACACATTTATTATGTAAACACAAACTTTTATTTTGGATGCGATGAATGTTCTCTTGTATTCACGTGCCCTGGTGTGATTCTGATCAGCAGTGCTTGAAGGAGCTACGAGACACAGATCACATGCTCAGTAAATCCGCTCTGTAATTCCCGTTATCCCGTCCAGGAATCAGACTCTGAGCACCGCGTCTCACTCCGGGATTAAGACACAGAAATGACAGCACACCTCCCGCAGGCAAAACAAACAGAAAATCCGGGTTGCCAAGAGCTGCCAAAGTGACAGAATAAGTCGGAAGCGAATCCGTTGCTAATGTGTACACGAGCATGGCCGTGTTTTTAAAATGGATTGCACCAGAATGCAGGGTTCCTGCACACTTTTGAAAGTCAAATTTAAGGCTTTTTAAGACCTTTTTAAGACCTTAAGAAATCAAAATTAATACCGTACATTAGGGCTGTGCAGTATTGACAAATATATCTTGATATTTTCAACGTTTTGTTGATAATAATTAGATGATATTTTACTGATTGTGTTTTTGTGCTGGTGCCTTGCTGACTCACGAAGATATTCATATTTTTCATATTCTATGCAGTGGTCGGTTCACAGCAGTGACAGAAATTAATATTTTGATTAAGGGGCAATATTTGCCACCTTAAATTGATTTTTTCAGGGGCATTTTCACCTATATATGGACATTTTTTCTAAACTTATTTAGAGTTATGCATCACCTTTAATGTCAAATACTATCATTCAAATGAAATTATACAGTAATTATACAATAATACTTAATTATATAATAATCATACAGTACCACTGTTACCAGTCAAATTAAATCATTCAATCAAAATCCATCTTTGCAGTGCAGAAGTGACAGAAGCGGCATCAGAAGTGGCATTAATATATTTACACTCCATTTACAACTGCATAAATAAAACTATGAGATATATATTTTTAAATCAATATTCAATATTTAAATATGAAATGATTTCTAATTTTAACATTTTATTTAAAGGGTACTTTAAATATGAAACCGCAGCGGCAAATCACTGTCTTAATAAGTGAGTTGAGGGAGTCAATCAACCGATTCGTTCAAACGGCTGATTCATTCGGGAAAGAAGCAAGTGATTTGTTCAAAACGCGGATTTCAGTCAAGAAATCATCGCTGTCGGTTGCATTGAGACTCTGCTACGGTTTCATTTTGAAATTATAGTCGGCGAAATAAAGGGAAAACAAACAATATTAACAATATTGTGTCTAAAAAGTAGTTTCAATGTTAACTTATTGTTAATTTAACAGTTGTATAACATAAATATCACACTTGGAATCGTGCACGGGAAAACGGCACTCTTTCTGATGTGATATTCTAATATAAGAACATAATATGATATAAATATAAGACAAAAACTAATTTGGGGACATAACAGTTACACTGCACACATCACGCAGTGAAAGCACGAGACAAATGCGATGTCAGCTCGCAGTGCCTCGTACATTGTTAAAACAATGATTACAATATCATAATAGACAATACACATCGCACACCATACGCACATAAAGAATGAACTTACAACTGCACTGACATTTACGACCTTTCTTCTCTTTCTCTCCTCTCGCGTGCAGGAGACAGTTATGCTGCCGCGACTCGCGAGTGACGCGAAATGTCACGTGAACTAGCAAATCCACAAAGATAGAATAATAAATAAATAAAAATACGTACGCTAATTAGATAGTTTTAATTTGGAAAGCTTTTAGATATGTCTAAGTCAAAGTGTCATCTAAAATTTAAGACCTTTCATAAGTAAAAATAAGACTTTATAAGACTTTTTATGGTCTTAAATTTAAAAAATCTAATTTAAGACTTTTTAAGGATCCGCGGGAACCCTGGAATGTGACTGTGTGTAATTGTGTTGGTGTGTACTACTTACTAGGGCAATCTATCTCATCGCTTTTGTCCTCACAGGCCGTCCAACCATCGCACTGCCAGGTCAGGGGGATGCACTGCAGTTTTCCACTCTGGCAGGCAAACTGGCCAGGACTGCAGCGCAGCTCTGAAATACAGCAGACAATACACTCAAACTAACTCAAACTAAACTGCTTTATCATACAACACTAAGGGCTCTATCTTGCACTCGGCGCAAATGACTTTGTACACTGACGCATGTATCATTTCTATTTTGCACCCGCGCAAAGCGGACTTTTCCCTCCACAGACACACGTCGGTTAACTAAGAAATACACTTGCGCTCCCCGGGGCGGTTCAGCGCAAAGAGGAGGCGTGTTCCGGCGCAAACTTTCCCGCATGCTATTTTGCTGTTCTATAAAACAATTGCGCCACTGACCAGAAAAAAACTAGTCTAAAGTCAGTGGCGCGTTGCGCGTTGTTCATTATGCTATTTTAAGCGCGCATGCTTGGCCATAATGTAGCGGGTGCACAACGCGCATACACTTTGATTCTCTCATCAACACAGATGCAGCAGTTTTTATTTTTGCAAATCATACATTATAACAAGGAAAAATATTAACACATGAGGGAAATCATTGTGGTGTCCATGAAAATTTAGTTTTTTTCCTCCCACGCCTGTTTAACCGACGCTGATTTGTATGGGGATGGGAGAAACCCACCCACGATAGATAGATAGAGATAGATAGATAGATAGATAGATAGATAGATAGATAGATAGATAGATAGATAGATAGATAGATAGATAGATAGATATAGAGATAGATAGATAGATAGATAGATAGATAGATAGATAGATAGATAGATAGATAGATAGATAGATAGATAGAGAGATAAATAGATAGATAAGTCTGATTTGAACGTTGAATTTCTTGTTATTTCTGCATGCATTCTACTTCAGACAGTCAATAAACAGTGGCGTCTGAGGGTGTTACTGCATGAGGGTTTATGCCATAGTTTACAGGTGCACGCAAAACACGCAATACAACGTCACTTCTCTGTCTTTCACGGTCCTGACAAGAACGTCGGTCTCCTCGGCTGTGAACCGCTCCTGACGCGCGCCTGGTAAATCCGCCGTTATAATAGCAATCCGCCATGCAACATGCGCACCTGCTCTTAAAGGGAATGTGAGATGACGCTCTGATTGGTTTATTCCACGTTACGCCCAAACCACACCTATGAATAATGAAGCTACTTCAGACCAACCTCTTTTAGATTTTCGCCAGGCGCAAGAGGCATTTATCCCGCCGGGAAAATAGCAACAGCGCCGGGATCCGCCCACAAAGTTACTTGCGCTTTGCGCTTTGACACTTGCGTTTCAGATCGTTAAAATAGGGCCCTAAAAGTCTCTTGAGTGCTGTTTGCAAAGCCAAATTTAGATGACGAGGCCATCAAAGATAGTGTCGATATCAGGCTGAGCCAGATGAGACTCAAAACAGGGTCAAAGTGTCAAAGAAAAACAGTAGAAAAGCCTGGAGACAGATTGCAGCTTACCTGACAGCAGTCTGGCCCGAGCGACCCGTGGACCTGCAGGGGGGAGAGGCAGATTTACTCATTTAAAGGGGCTGATTTCAGCAATATAACATCTCCTAATCTCTTAAAGGCTCGAGAGACAGTCTGTCTCTTGGTTATCAGGGTATAAATAACAATAGATAGTAGGGGTTAAGCGGATCGTTGTTGATCCGTACGGACCAACCCCCACGGTTCGGCACCTCGGATTCATTTCAAATTTAACCGCCATAGTTTGAATGTTTATAATTTGCACGTGTTTTGCACATTCAACAGATTTGAAACCATTCCAGCGCTAGAAGAGGCTAAAGAGAATTGAATTCGGTATTCATTCACACGCTGTTAATCTGTAGTCAAGTATTCTAGTAAACACAGTCGGTTATGTCTCAAGACAAGAGAAAGAGAACAAGAGAAGGATGTATCATCATTATTGGACCAGTGAATTCGGTCTTAAAGTGACAGTAGTCTATGAATACCTGCTGTTGTCTATATGGCATTAATGTTAATCAAACTACAAAACACAGCTTTAACAAAGAATAATCTATATTAAATTGATACAGTGAACAGTGTTATTTTACATTTAATTATTACATTTCTGTACCTGAATACTACAGTTAGACCTTACTTTATTTGTAACATTGTTAGGCATATATGCTTGTAATTAGTGTATTTGTTCTTATTTTTTACTGACTGATCACTTGCATTTAATAATGTTTGAACTTTAGAGGCTATAGTTTTTGCAGTGGTGTATTGGTGTAGGCCTACTTAAAGTGTGCTTTCAGTAATAAATGGGAAGCAAAGTTACACCCCCCAAATATTTTTGACTCAAAAAACGTAATATGATCCAAACCGTGAGTTTTGTGATCCGTTGAACCACTAATAGATAGTACAGAAACATCTGTGTTTGCAAACAAAAGTCAATGTAAGTGACCAGAAATCTTTTACGCATTTATTGTTGTGAGCTTGCAAAGGCCCCCAAAATATTTACCTATAATTTGCTTTAAAAAAAAGAAAGAAGCAAAGCCTATTTTTGGTCAATAAAAAAAAAAAAAAAAAAACATTATTTTTTTGTAAAAAAATAAAATAAATATATATTCTTTTACATTATGTATAATAATGAATGCACATTTATACAAAATTAACTAATTGTATATTTAAAAATAATGATAACATAGTGTGTATGATGTATAACAAATACACACATTTATAGAACAGTGTATATTTATAATAGTAATAATAATTATTCATATAATAAATATCTAAATAATAAATTATATATTATTTTACATATAAAATAATAAATACACACACACACACATATATATATATATATAATTCAATATTTATTTATTTATTTTGACATGTAATCAAAAAAAATTATACATACTTAGAAGACAACTGTCTAATTTGAGGTAATTTTATACGATAATTTCTGTTATCTGATGTTAAACACCAAATTAACCAGATCCTGCAGTCTGCTAAAATGATCTCTTCAGAAACAACAGACAAACTAATTATAAAATTTTTACAAAGAGCTTCTTGGGAGGTCCAGACATTCAGACGTTCAATCAATTACCTGTCCAACCCTTGAGTCTAAAGTTATCCCTAAACAAACACACTGACATCGAGATGACTTCAGAAGACCATTGTGCTCTTTCCTATGGATTACCAGGGCCAGATTTTCAGCACATTAACTGCTGTGTAGACAGTAAAACCTTGGGAACAGTTGAACAGCTGTTCGACAGGTAAAAACTACCAAGTCAATAAGTTCCACTGACCACCTAAATATTACGAATAATCCATTTAGTTGACAAATAGATAAGAAGTTTTCAGTATCAAGATTTCAGCATCAAATATATGTATTTGTAAAAGGTAATATACATGGTTCCCTGTCCTACTTTGAGTATTTTGAACATGTGACGCAACTGAAAAATCACCAATTTGAGTTTGTTTTGCAATAAAAAGTCAGTAGTAAAGACATGGAAGCGTTAACTTCTGACTCCTTTAACGTTAACATCATGGTGATCAAGTGTATTTTGGACTTTTCTTAAAGTGCACACTGCGATCAAACACCAGCTGTGGGTTTATTCTATGCGATTCAGCACGAAGACCACCATAGCTGCCTCGAAACAAGTACAGACTGAACACGTAACCAAGGCTTCCCCACGGAAATTAAATGCAGAAAAGCACAAAGGCCATTAACCTAAATACTGTCCTATTTATTTGATCCACTGGGTTTCCATGCATCACCTTATATCAATAGGATTAATAAACCTTTCATCTAACAGAGGAACATCCGACCAGACAAGCCATCACTTAGATGTGTATTATTATTGATAAAAATCAACTCCCCTATGGAGAAAATGAATGGGATTTTTTCTTCCAGAAATTGACTTTAGCACACTACTGGAATAGACTAGTAAAGTGCACTAGTAAAACTGGAATAGGTACCAACAATAAACATACTAGTCAGAAGTAAATAATTAGCAAATGGCAATATTTTGCCATTTTATTACCAGTAACAATGGAATAGTTACATGTCACTGTTGGGATAGTGAATAGATGCAAGAGAATATGTAAATAATTCATGAATAAAGCAGGCACTCGTGACAAATACTAGCCTTTTCATTACAATAGTGTGTAAATGTAATAATTAATCTAATAAACAGTCATTAAGTGAAACTAAAACGATCACAGTACGTTAGTCACTACTGGATTGGGTAGTGACACACTGCTAACAAACAGATACTATGCAGTTTTATGTCAAAACAGCTTGCCACATGGTGTGTAATAAATAGGCTTAAAGCTAGTAACATAAATAGATACTATGTAGTTTTAAGGAATACTGTTAAAACAGTTATGTAATAAAAAGGCGTGTAGCTTAAAAATATAACTCATAAGAATAAATGATAACATAGTAGTTAGTGAAAGGCCCCGACGGCCTGCGCGAGACAGAAGCGCTGCGAGTCTTTACCAGCCCAGACTGCAGCAAACACCATTTCAGCAAATGCATTGAATAAAGCAACACCTTTACCTGTCCGTGGTGGATCTGTTGTTGTCAGAATGAAGAGGAGAAGCACAAAACCACCGCTGTCAGCCTTCGGCAACATTTATCCTCCATTCATAGTATCTTACACCAGAGAAAATGTGCGAGAGAAAATGCACTTAAAGCACCAGTCCCGATGTTGATAAATAAATGATCGAGCGACTGATTCTGCTCGCTGCGTATATTCCGTCGATAAGAAATGAGTTTCGATACTCGAATGTGTTTATTTCAGGCGGGATATAGTATCATATTCCATGGCTGTTTCATCTGGCTCGGTAAACGGGCTTAGGACGGATATAAAACAAGATGGCTCCGCCACCGTCCCATCAAAACAATCCCAACCATGTTCTCCAGACCAGCCCACAGCCGGGAAGAGGAGGCGCATAATCAACTCCTCAGTTTAACACATGCATGACCTTTCCTTTAGGTTTCACACCGATTTTTCATGGAATTCTTTACCTTTAAATATATATATATTCAGAAGTGTTAGAGTCAGTAACATATAAATGAACTTTTATTCAAGAATGCATTCAATTGATTAGAAGTGATAGTAATGATAGTTATGTCACGAAATATTTATATTTCATGTTATTTGAACTTTCCACTCATCAGAGAATCCTGAACAAATGTATTACGGTTAATTTACACTCAAATTTTAAACAACATTGATAATAATATGTTTCTTGAGCAGCAAACCAGCAGGATCATGTGACACTGAAGGCTGGGATTAATACTGCTAAAAATGTAGCTTTGCATCACAGGAAAAAAAATACATTATATTCAAATGGAAAACAGTTCATTAAAATTGTAATGATATTTCACAATATTACTTTTTTTATGCTGTATTTTTTTTGATTGAATGAATGCAGTCTTGGTGAGCATAAGAGACTTAAAAAAAATGGAAAAATCTTTTCACTCAGAGTTAGTTTGGGACCAATTGTATTAACTTAGCTTGAGATGTCAGAATGAAATGTATAAATTACTGAACACATATCACATTACCTGCTTTAAATGCTTTATTGATCTCTTTTGCTTCAATGTCTATTTGGATGTACACAGAGAAGCTGAGTTTGGTGAGGATTTTGTGGAGCCTTCGAGTCTTTCTTCACACCGTTCCTCTTAGATAGAAGTTTTCCACAGACACTGTTCTTGTTAGTTGTGAAAGGATATCTACAAAAAGACATGATTCTTTCTTTTGTCAAACACTGAGGTGTAATGCAGTCAAAAACTGTGTGAGAATAAGGAGAGTCTGTCTCGACATCATAAAACAGGTGAGTCCTGCTTTAAAGCTGCTGTGGGTAACTTTTGAAAAAATGTATTTGCTAAAACTGTCATTATGTCCTGACAGTAGAATATGAGACAGATAATCTGTGTAAAAATCAAGCTCCTCTGGCTCCTCCTAGTGGTCCTATTGCCATTTGCAAGAAATACACGCTCCCGGTCAGAAACAACCAATCAGAGCCAGGAGGAATGTCTTAGCAGTGTCAGTCACGCTCGTGTACGCGCTGATCACACCCCTCTCTTGCACAGCGCGAGCCGTCGTTCAAACTCAAGATTGCCGGCGTGCTGCAGCTGTGCTTATGACGGAGAAACAACCTAAACTGCCAATTCTCGAGTGACACCTGCTCATAAAACAAAGAGGTAAAAGGAAAAAGACTGATGACGATAAACAAGCGAAAAAGAAAGAATTACACAGAGCCCATTGACTCGGTGTCAAAACTCCAGCCGCATAACATGTAGATAAAATGTCACGCACTCTGCTAAGCAACAATTGAAACCTGCTAATTCACTGGCTTGTCATGTTGCTGAAATAATGTACTAGCACACCTTATCTAGCATTATATCGCTAGAATAATTACTTACATACTGTAACGTTAGTTACCGTTATATTAACGTTATCTTACTAGCTATTTATAACTTATAGAAAGAGTGCAACGTTATAAAGTTACATGTAGGCTATTGGAAAATACATAATGATTTGAGGACCAAGTTTGTAGTCAAAGTATGGGCAGGCCATAGTCAATGTAAAGCATATTATTGACGTTTAGTCCCTATTAGTGAATGTGCCATATAACTTTTTATCCGCTGTTATGGGTGGCCCTGTTTACTAGCCTGCGCGTTCACGACAGGCTCCGCTGTGGATGACGAGCTGTGGAGGGAGGGCTGTAGCGCAGCAGAGAGCAAGGGGGTGGGACCTGTAAGTTGTGCTTGTTCAAATTTTCAGGCTGAGTCAATGTTTTCTCAAAACTCCCTATTGCAGCTTTAATGAGGCTCATTTGCAGTCTGTCATGTAATATATTATGAAGCGTTTTCTCCCGGCTTTAAACATATCAGTCTGATCTAAGCAACACTGGCAGTTACCAGACAAATCAGAAGCTTCAGCTAATAAAATGGTGCTTTGCCACCTTTACGTGCTGTGAAAGGATATGTACAAAAACACATGATTTCCTTTCTTCTGTCGAACACTGCAATCACAGAGAGTAACTTCATTAAGGGAGTCTGTCTCGATATATAGTGTCCAAGTTCAGCCTCCAACCCAAAGATGGGTTCAACAAATGGATCATGTAAAATAAGGACGGTGAAATGATATAAAGGCACGTTAAACTGTAGAACTCCTCTTTATTGTGCCCCTGAGATCGTGCAAGTCTTCAACATCATAAAACATGCACAAAATTCAGGAGCACTGAAAACAAATCAAGAGTAGTAAAGTTCTGGAGCACTTGTGGATCAAATGAAAGTCTGATTCACGCAAGAATCACTTGATGTGGATGATGCTGAAAAACGACATTTATGCTAGCTAAATTAAAAATATAAAACAAAAAAAAACCGTATAAACTGTACATGTTGTAAGTTGCAGACAGTCTAAAAAATAAGATATCTGAAACACCGATGATTAATTCAGATTCACAGTTTTTTTAAAGAAAGAAGTAATTAAAACAAAAAGAATAAATATGAAACCCCGCCCATGTCTTTGTGAAGTGTTTAGTTTCAGAAGTAATCTGAGGCTTTCCTCCGTTTGGGCAGCTGTAGGAGGTTGTCTGTGATGGAGGCCGGGTCCTGGGCGGCCGGTGTTATGGCTTTTCCGGGTGTTGGTGTGATGGAGGAAGTGGTCAGGCCTCCGAGAGGAGTCTTCGAGCCGATGCCTCTGTGCGCAGGGGATGGGGTGTAGCTGGCCCTCAGGGCTTTATCTGTGTATTTACTGGACGATTTGTTCACTAGACGCTGGAGGGCGGGAGACAGCGCTGCGGGGCTCAGTCCCTTCGGAGTGAGGCTGGAAAAGAGTATGGTAGCCAATGAAGACCATATTATGCAATCATGTTAGAAACCTACGTAGGAAGTTAAGGTCCTAGCACACTGAGTTCGAAATTTTCGTATGCGTTTTTTCGTATTCGGTGGCTCTGAATTGTCAAAACACCTCTCAAAATGCTTACTTCGAATTGTTTTATGACGGACAAAAGTTTCGGAGGCAGTGTGTAAACATGATTGACGCAACGTGGGGTCGTATTTATTTTTTAACGTGCGAAAATTTCAGGCGCCAATTTCGGACTATGTGTGCAAGGACCTTAAAACTGGCAATTCTGATGACTCTTTTCAAGGAAGTTTTGAATCGGTTCTTTCTTTCGGGAGACAATAATTCAATAACTACAAAACAAACTTTGACCTTTGCAGACCGTTTACATATATTACACACCACATGAAAGGTAATATCCAAAAAAGCATTAGGAAAAATTTGGAAAAAGCATTAGGAAAAATGACTTTGTCTAAACACCCCCCCCAAAGAAAACCACAATGCAATTCTAGGGAATTAAAATCCATTTGAAAAGTTTTTTGAAAGTAAAACAAAGAAAATGAAAGTTTGATAAGATGAATATATTTGGCGGCGGAGTACTGTTGCCATTAAAGCAACTGGGGGGTGAACAAATACATGTGAAAATTCTTGTTTATTTTTCAATTCAACTTTTCACTCAAATTGTTATACTGATAATTTGTAATAAAAAAAATGCTGATTAAACTAGAAACAAAGGTAAAATATAAGCATTTTTTACAGTCTCAGACTGTATGCCTCAGTACTTTTTCTTTACCTGGCAAGGTTTTCAGTGACTTTGCGCAGCGCCTCCTGTTTCTTAGCTCTGTTTTTTGCCGCAGCCTCATTGGCCATTTTCAGTCCCAAACGCTCTCTTCTCCCAGGCTCTGGAATCTAGAAAACATCCATACAAGTAAGCATTCAGCATTTTTACTGAAATGTTGGACAGTAACATTTTTTTTTTTTTTAGACTGAGGATCAATAAAACTGAAATATTGTGTTTATATACACAAGTGCATGAAAACAGCCATTTCTGTTTGCTAGCTAGAGATGAACTGAACCTTGAACGATGGGCCGTGACTTCTCTCCACAAGGGGCGTTTCTGAGCCGTCCAGACGAAACGGGGTGCTTTCGATCTCACCCCACGTCATCAGCGGAGACTCTGCAACACCTTAAGAACAAACAAGCCATTCAGAAAAACATGACATGTGTACTCGTATAATATTAGTGTTTGACAACCCTAGTAATAAGCTATACATTTCTTTATAAAACTACATGTATTGATGAGCTGATATTAATCAATCAACTAATAAATAAAATTAGAGTCCTCTCTCTTAACTCACCAGGAGCAGGGGAGGCTTCTCCCTCAAATCCGTAACCATTTACTTTGGGGGAATCATGAGCCAGGAGATCTTTGCCGTCCGGACCAACCTTGCCTTGTTTAAACTAGACAGAAGGCAAAGAAGAGAAATACGCAATTAGTTTAGTCATTTTTCATGAAAGTGTTTTATGATCTGAAGCTGACCAATGAGATGCAGAAATCAGTGTTACCTGTGCATTGAGTGCAGCAGCTTGCTGGATTTGGGATTTGTTCAGGGCTTTAGAGAAGGGGTCGATATCAAACCGTGTGTTCTGGTACAGGACCTCCCGTGGCTTCTTGAACAGTGTGTCGTCTTTTTCACCTTTTGGGGAACAAAAGAAACAGGCATTTTACTGTATGGCTCCTTGCCTATTAGCTTAATTTAAAAATGTAATGTATATACAGTTGTGTTCAAAATAATAGCAGTGTGTTTAAAAAAGTGAGTAAAGCTCAAAATCCTAATAATAACTTTTATTTCAATACACAAAAATGCATTGGGAACACTGCACATTCTATTTAAGATCAAAACATGAAGAAAAATTTATGAAATTTGTTTTTACTTTATAGAAAGTGAAGAAAAGGGAATATTAGGCTGTTCAAAAAAATAGCAGTGTCTGCATTTTACTTTACAAAGTCAAACATTTACTGTATAAACTGAAAAATGCTTGAAGATTTAGCTTTCTTGTGAATCACTGAACTAATATTTAGTTGTATAACCATGGTTTCTGAGAGCTGCTTCACATCTGTGTTGCATGGAGTCGACCAACTTTTGGCACCTGTGAACAGGTATTCCAGCCCAGGACGATCGCACTACAGACCACAGTTCCTCTGCATTTCTAGGTTTTGCCTCAAAAACAGCATTTTTGATGTCACCCCACAGGTTTTCTATTGGATTAAGGTCCGGGGATTGAGCTGGCCACTCCATAACGTTAATCTTGTTGGTCTGGAACCAAGATGCTGCTCGTTTACTGGTGTGTTTTGGGTCGTTGTCTTGTTGAAACACCCATTTCAAGGGCATTTCCTCTTCAGCATAAGGCAACATGACCTCTTTAAGTATTTTGATGTACTCAAACTGATCCATGATCCGTGGTATACGATAAATAGGCCCAACACCATGGTATGAGAAACATCCCCATATCATGATGCTTGTGCCACCATGCTTCAGTCTTCTGTGGCTTGAATTCAGTATTCGGGGGTCGTCTGACAAACTGTCTGCGGCCCCTAGACCCAAAAAGAACAATCTTGCTTTCATCAGTCCACAAAATATTGCGCCATTTCTCTTTAGGCCAGTCAATGTGTTAATTTGGCAAATTGTATCCTCTTTAGCACATGTCGTTTTTTTCAACAATGGGACTTTGCGGGGGCTTCTTGCTGATAGCTTGGCTTCACATAGGCGTCTTCTAATTGTTGCTGTACTCACGGGTAACTTTAGATCTTCTTTGATCACCCTGGAGCTGATCATTGGCTGAGTCTTTGCCATTTTGGCTATTCTTCGATCCATTCGAACGTTAGTTTTCCATTTTCTTCCACGTCCTTCTGGTTTTGGTTGCCATTTTAAAGCATTTGATACCATTTTAGCTGAGCAGCCTATAATTTTCTGCACTTCTATATACGTTTTCCCCTCTCCAATCAACTTTTTAATCAAAGTACGCTGTTCTTCTGAACAATGTTTGGAACGGCCCTTTTTATTCAGATCTTCAGAGAGAAATGCACTATAACCACCATGTACAGTCCAGTACTGCCTTCGTCCTTAAATAAGGGCCACTTATTGACACTAGTTTTTTCGCAGAATGATTAACCTCACTAATTGAACTCCACACTGCTATTATTTTGAACACACCCCTTTCAATTAATGATTCAATTATACAGAATTAGCAACATACATGTCATGACTGTTGGGTCTGTTGTTTTTCTATTACTCTACTACACCTACTAGTAAATGATTTGCCATGTAGAAATATAATTTCTACCAAAAACAGTGATTGATCTGGTTAGTGATGTTGGACTGCTATTATTTTGAACACAACTGTATATATATAAAAAAAGAAAATATATATAATAAAAACTATGAATATAAAATTTTAAGTTAAGTACATGTTTATACAATATGTATATAAAATCATATATATATATATATATATATATATATATATATATTTTTTTTTTTTTAAGTTCAAATGTTTGGGGTGAGTAATATATATATATATTGTTTTTAATGAAATCAATACTTATTTTTTAACAAGGACACGACACAGTAAATTGATCAGGAGTCTCAGTAAAGGGATTTATAATGTTACAAAATATTTCTATTTTAAATAAAATGCTGTTCTTTTGAACTTCAATAAGCAATTTGAGTGCAGAGAAAAGCACTACATAAATGTACTGAATTATTATTATCAAAGAATCCTGTAAAAAAATATTTAAAATACTACCCAGGCCTACTCATTATCATGGTATTAATAGTTCAGAAAATGCAATGATAAACTTATGGGGCTCCTCAATAGAACACTTTACCGTCAGGATAGTACATGAGTGCATTTTTGGCCTTGTACTGCCATGTTTCCAGTCCTGCCTTGGTGCACTCCAGCGCCTGCTGCTCTGAGGATGGTAGAGCAAGGTTCTGCTCGTGCCTCTTCAAACGACAGGACAATAAGCATCATCAGAACTCAAAACAAGACTCAACGACACAAAACTCAATGATATGCATTATGCAGTAGCTATCACTGTGTTGCACCTCTTTGAATTCATTCTCCGCCTCATAGAGCCACGAATGCCTCAGCTTGTTCTTGTCCTCCGCAAGCTCCATTATCTGCTCAAAGGATGCGTTGTCCTCACTCGTGTTTTTAGCAAGAAAATGGTCCAGGGACGGAAGGACCTTTTCACCATCTTTTCCAGAAAAATAACACAGAACGCCTGTAGCATATCTCAAATAGCTTTAAAATGATCAAAAAGAAGCCTTTTTGAAATCTCACTATTATATATATATATATATATATAAAAGACGTTTCTCAAAATGATTTTTTTGAGCCAGAAATCACTTGAGTAGCACTTACATACACCAAAGTTTACAGTTTAATCCTGACTATATTCTGAGGGTTTTTACAGAAGGGTTTATTCATATATACTTTGCTTGGTTTATATATATACTAAAAACATGGTGAAAATGTATGTGTGAATATTTGATAATGCCACATTTGCATATATACATAACAATTGTTTGAATGTACTTAAAGGGATAGTTCACCCAAAAGAAATGTAATTCTGTCATCATTTACAGGCTGTGAGGGATGTGGTATTGGGTTGTGCTGTTATTTATTGTGTTTTTTTATTGTTCTGCTGACAAAACACTGCAAAAATATCTTTCCAAGGAATTTCAGTAGACAAAAAACTCCAGACAACATGAGCTGTGGAAAATGATAAGTGATCTAGGAGCTTTATATAGCTTTTTATAGCGGATGCCATTGAAAACACTTTAAGTCTATCCCTCACAGCCTCTCTTTCATACCTGTCAACTGTTTGGTTACCAACATTCTTCAAAATATCTTCTTCTGTGTTCAGTAGAGTTTGCAGTCACTTACCATCCTCTTTTGCTGATCTGTGTTTACCATGTGAAGACGAGGGAGATGCACTTCGGCCATCTGGGGTCTCAAATATTGAAGGCGTCACGTCTAAATAGGAATAAAATGATGAGTCAGCAGGTAATTGATGATGTGCAAAACACAGTAGTGATTATCATTAATAATCAACCATGCACAGTAAGAAACGTCGCTCACGGGGCACATAGGTGCGTGGGGTGAATTTAGCCATCGCAGCCCCGTATTTGATGGCTATCTCTCTCATCCGCTCCAGATCTCCGTTCTCCTCCGCCTCCAGATAATCCTTCTGCGCTTGAAGTTTGGAGACATCTGGGAAAAAGTCCCTCTGGATGATCTTCTCCAAACTCTTCAGAAGAAATTGTGACAGATATATGTGTCATTAGCAAATCAAGACAGAAGAATCTATGCAGGTATAAGTGTGTTTACAGGTGACACATGGACCTCAAGCTGCTGTTGCTGGGGGTTTGGTATTTTGTGTAAACTATGTTTATGGTGTTGATGGTTACCGCCTTTTTTAATAATAAAAAACTGTTCAAATAACACATTTCAAAACCAAACTCCACACTGACATTAAAACTGTATAATTCAATGAATTATTAAATGATTAAGTATAATACTATGAATTATTTCAGAGCATCCGTTGTATATAATAACAGTATAACATTGTCTTACCTCTATGTATTGATCTTCATCGAGAATCTTTCTCTTCGGCCTCTCAGTCTCTTCTACAGGGTTCCTGACAGCGACTGTAGTAATACCAGACATCAGACTCAAAGCTTTCTCTTTGGACTCTTCCATATTTCTATTTCAATAGATTAAACTCTTATTTTACAGCGACCCAAAGCACAATTACGTAAGACGTTGTTTACGTTAGCCTCTACGCTAAGTATTCGTTTTTTTCTCTAATTGAATACCATTGGGATGTCTTTGCCTATTATATCAATAGCTCGAGGTAAATGTTGGTGTTTACAATCACTTAATCAAGAATAATAACGAAAATCCATATAATAACAAGTGAACGTCGTCACATCGCATGCAGGAACAGTATCTTCTTCGCCTTCGCATTATTTCCACTGAACACAGAACCACAGAGACTCTCTATCGCCACCTATTTGACTAGCGACCGCATTTGCATGAACTTCGATATAAAGGACTAGTTCACACAAAAATGAATATTCTGTCATAATTTACTCACCCTCAAGTTGTTCCAAACCTTTATGAGTTTCTTTCTTCTGTTGAATTCAAAAGAAGATATTTTGAAGAATTCTGGTAACCAGACAGTTGATGGTAGCCAATGACTTCCAAAGTATTTTTTTTCCAACTGTGGAAGTCATTGTACCATCAACTGTTTTATTACCACCATTCTTTTAAATATCTCCTTTTGAGTTCAACAGAAGAAAGAAACTCATACAGGTTTGGAGCAACTCGAAGGTGAGTAAATGATGACAACGTTTTCGTTATTAGGTTAACTATCCCTTTATGAAGCTTACCATTTCAAGTACACGTAAATATTAATAGTAGCTACACCCCCACAATGAACGTTGCTAAGCAATAAACATATTATTTATTTTCAGTCCATAAGTGAAATAAAAAGAATGTTAGTTTTCAAAGCCTTTAATACAACTTAAGGCAAAAAAACACCACAGGTGATGTGAAAGGGTAAATATTTTTACTAATAGATATCACCACAGTGAATTAATCACAGTACATTAAAACAACTGTTTTGTACTTCTGAAATGTTATGTTTAAATATATAATTAAATATGCACATAATTTGCATACATTTCCAGAACAGAAATCTGACCGTTGGATAAAGCCAAGTTCAAAATCCTGGTTTAATTTTGTTGACATATTAAGGCCTGGTTTCAGAGACAGGGCTTAAATTAAGCCAGGATTAGGCCTTAGTTCAATTAGGACATTTAAGTAGTTTTTATAAATGTGCCTTAGAAGAAAAAACAAAAGAAAAACATTACTGGTGTGCATCTTGAGACAAAACAACGGCACTTCCATATTTTAAGATATATCAGTGCAAGTTGCTTTCATTTAAACCAGCTCAAACATGTATTTTAGTCTCAGACTAGCTTAAGATTTGTCTGTGAAACCAGGGGCAAGTGTAATAAAATAAAATAAAACACCTAAATGTGTATTTTAAATGCAATCTTTTCACTGGTCTGAAAGAAGCAAAATAGCCCAAAATCTCAAAACTGATCAATTCTACTGATAATGGTTTTCCTTGTAGTGTCTCTTGCCTTAATAGATACTATTTCACACGAAGATATGTTTGCATTTAACTAATAAAAGATGCAAAGCTTCAGAACCTTCAAATGAACCTCATGACTACAGAAAATCATATACAAAATAAAAATTAAAGTCCAACAACAATATGTTATGGAAAGCAACAGAGAATAGTCTGGCTGAAAGAACGTGAAAATGAATATGTTTTTGCTCCCTATTTACATCTGCCATCGTGTTAAAGGGATAGTTCCCTCTAAAATGAAAAGGTCATCCTCAAGTTCTTTGTTCTGCTGAACACAAAGGAAGATATTTGTAACCAAATGGACCCCATTGACTTCCATACTATTTTTTCCCCCATACTATGGAAGTCAATGGCTACCGTCAACTGTTTGGTTACAAACATTCTTCAAAATATCTTCCTTTGTGTTCAACAGAAGAAAAACTCATACAGGTTTGGAACAACATGAGGGTGAGTAAGTGAAGACAGAATTTTCATTTTTGGATCTTTAACAGTCTGAATGATTCATTGCCATGTGTTACAGTAAATACAGAAGCCAGTCTGTCTGAAACTGGTTGCAATGGCATATGACCAACATAAAGGTCTGAATCATTTCCAGTATGAACAGAGGCAGAACTAAAACAACTGCATATTTAAATCAAATGTAACAGTAGTTCACCATTAAGTGGACGGCATAAGTGAGAGAAAAAAAAATCCTTGGTATTTTGTCTGGTTTTCCTTTACAAATATACAGTAATTCAAAAATCAAGATAGTTGAAAGAAAATTGATATTATGTCTTGTTTTCCGAAAACTTTATTAAAATTAAGCGAGTTTATGCTTAAAACAAGAATATCTGTCAATGGGGTAAGAAACTCTTTTTGTTACACAAGTAAATGTTTCTTGATTTAAGAATGTTTAGATATTTGTACTAGAAAACTTTTTGTTGTGAAGTGAACACAAAAACTTGTTTTTAGGTGAAGTGTGTAATTTTTACAACATCAAACAGAATTGACCTTTTTTTAAATAAATGGAAGCTCACAGAAGCCATGCATTTCTATTTTTCTGTTATGCTTTCATAAGATCTTATCTTTATTTACGCAAACACGCTTGATGCTGCTGGTTTTAAAAATTATGCACCTCAACTTTAAGCTTTTATTGGTCACATTTGTATATTATTATTTTTTTTCGGAATTCAACCAATAATTACAGACTGCTAAGACACGATAATAGAGGCCAAGTGTAGCAATGATCGGCGCTGGACTTTTTTGACCCATTAGAAGCTCCTTGGCAAGTTTATCAGTCACTGTGAGGTCAAGAGCAAAGGCACATGTTTCAAAGCAGCAGCAATGACATCACCGCAAATCCAGCATGGTCACACTTCCGTCCGTGATGATGACGTGTTGACTAGCCTGAACACAAAACAGACACAAAACCTTCTATATGGTGCACATACAACATGGCGGAAGGACACAGCTAGATCATTCAAATTTAATTAAGTAGTGAAGTTCAATGCTTAGAGGTTGCTCAATTAAAATCAAGGGGTTTTCAATCTTTTAGATGGATGGACCTTGTGTCGCACAGGGCTGCATTTTTAGTAATTAATAAAAAACATGTTCTATAAAGTATGAGTGTGTGTGTGTGTAGTATGTAATCCGGACATACTACATCTGCCATGTTGTCACTGTCATGTGAGCTGCCAGCATCAGTTGTGTGCGAGTATATAGTGTGCGATTCCGGACGCAGCCGAAAACATCGCCCCCTGGTGGCTGGCTGCAGTATAGGTCCGAGCCAAACTAAAAAAAATCCCATTATCACACTGATGTATGTTTAGGTGTTTGTCTCTCCAGTAAGTTTATTTTTAGTTAGTTATTTGATGCTTGAAAACTGCGTTGTTACGTCATGACTGACAGCTGTGCTTGCGATTGAGAATGGGCGGGAACTTGATACAGCGGCTGCATCAGAAATCGCATACTACCCTAGTGTAGTGTTCTTTTAGTTTTTTATTATGGCTTTATTCATATTTTGAATGAGCTTTTTAGTTTTCTTGTTAATTGTAGTTGAATTTTTAGTAATTTCGCTTTTGGCGCCTTATTAGGTCTATATTTAAAAAAATATTGCTATTTAGGTTTAATTGATTTTTATTTCAGTTTTAGTTTTAGTTCGTTTTATTTATTTTTCCAGTTAAAGGTGCAGTATGTAATACAGTGGTTGAAATAGGTACTGTCTGCAGTCCGAACTTTAATATTCTCCTGTTCATAGAGATTTTTAGACGGATGCTGAGGCATTTTAGGTCAGGTGGAATCTGCGACCTCTGACCTAGTTTGTTTGCTGGCTTCTATATGCTGTAATTTCCACCAACTGGAATACTATGTGGTAAGTTTACTATAGAGGGAATGCATTGATGTCACATGTCCCACGTGAACACGCCCCCTCAGCTGGACTGAGTGGCAAAAGAGCTGCTGCGTGACTGGATTTAATAGGGGAAACTGCGGAAACGAGAGTAAAACAAACGATGTTTGGACTCGATATAAGTGTTCCTTACAATTTAGGCCTACCAAACATCCAGTGATCCATATTGACACGCAGCCATTGTGTTTCCTGACATTTATGTGCCTGATTTCGACGCCGGGGAAATACGTGAAGCAAATTTGCCTGTGAACGCTTTAGCTGCTATATAAATACAATATAGGTAGGTCTAAATCCAGGTGATCACTCATATCAATGTTATATATAGGCTATAATCATATCGTCCAGCCCTAAAACTTGTAGCCTATAGTTTTTTTTTGTCATGACAACGCATGTGGTCATGTAAACACGGGAAACCCGTTTTCTTTTACACTGGTAGTTTTTTGCCTCTTACTCGGATTTCGCATTATGTAAACGCATTAACCTGCTTTCTGCTTTTTTTTTCTCATCTCGTGCAGCAGAAGTAGAAGTGGTTCAGTCAAAACGCTGCATCTGTAACTTGACATGAGAGAATATACGAGCTGTAAGTTTCCCGCTGACATGTTGCAAGCTTTATTTAACATAAAGTTAATATTTAACGTCAGATACGCAAATGATTGTTTTGTCGTCACACGGTCATGGCCTGATTTATTAATAAAGTCATGTAAACACGGTTTACTTGTGTTGTCATGGTTACTGGTTTGCATGTAAACGGGAAACTGGTTATTTCAATAAGCTGATTTATGTGAGTTATCATCTTACTGGTGTGCATGTAAACGTGCTCAATGATAACTGCAAATCCACTTTTCTCTGGAGTCAAGTTGATTCTATGAATTGCATCGATCCATTTGCTTCTCTGTTCTGTAGCTTTTGGCAGTCTGTAAAAATATACCTCAGATTTCTTGTGAAATGTAGTTGTACAGTCAATCGCAAAGCTCTTTCCCATTTTAGATGTGTTTTTTGTGTTTTTCACGGCATTCACGCTGAAAACCAATGCTGCCGCTCAGTCTTTTTGCCACTCGAGTGGGCGTGACCGCAATCACTCCAGCTGACGGTGACGTCATACGCATTCCCTCTATTGGCAGTGGGCGAGATCACAGACCAAAACAAAAACAGACATTCTGACACGGAACGCACAGTTCAAAGTAAAAAAAACTGGCAGTAGCATTGTTTTTCAGAGAAACGAGTAGGTGAACTTAGCATGTTTTCGAAATATCTGCAAACACTTTTGTACAGTAAAAAAAAAAAAAAAACAGAAAGGTGTTCATATACTTAAAATAGTATAAGAAAAATATTTAGTTTGTATTGTTACATTATTACGTTTTTTTTAAACTATATTGCTGTACTGTATTATTTATTTAGATGTTTTATTTATTAAATACAATTTATTTGTTTTAATC